TAAACTGTAAATGAGCTTTAAAGTCAATTTAGTAGGTTCTGTCTCAGTAGAATAGGAAATATCTAAAGTATATTTCGTGTTTAAGCTTTTGTGTCAGTTTACAGGTGTATATAAATCTTTTCTAGGTCATATGCAGAATAGTTCTTAAAATTTGAAAAACACTACATAAGTTAGTGTGTAGAATATTTTTCATTTCTATTATGCCTTCACTTTTACAATATATAGATTTATTTTTTTCTTTTTGCTCTTTCAGTACTTGAATTTCTATACTACTTGATTCCAAGGGCGGGCGGGCTGGCTGGCTTTCTTTCTTTCTTTCTTTCTTTCTTTTTTTTTTGGGGTGGTGAGGGGGGCAGAACCAGGGATTGAACTCAGGCCCTTGTGCTTGCCAGGCAAGTGCTTATTCTACTGAGCCACCTCCCAGCCCCTTGAAGGGCTTTCTGAGATTAGGTAATGATCTGAGTACTGAGTATAATATTTTCATTTTATTTTACATTTTTTTAAAGATAAATTTAACACATATGTGACCCTGAAAGTACAGAATGTGAAGAGCACGACTGTAGCAGTTCGCGGTGACCAGCCTTCCTGGGAACAAGATTTCATGTTGTAAGTACTTGACAGCAGCAGCGTGTACATATCCTGTAATCTTTCTAAGGGAATGGTGTTGCATGAAATGTATATGCCTAGGGTTTATCAAATGTGTTGATACCATTAAACAATTCTTTATGAAAATTGCAGTTATAAGATCAAGTGAGATGTATGATCCATAGGTGAAGTATATCTATTTTTTAATGTTGTGTGTGTGTGTGTGTGTGTGTGTGTGTGTGTGTTATTGGTGATTGAATTCAGGACCTTTGCACAAAACAACATCCCCAGCCCGTTTATGTTGTATTTTGAGTCAGGGTCCTGATAAATTGCTCAGGCTGGGCTTGTTTGCAGTCTTCCTGCTTCAGCCTCCCAGAGTGCTGAGATTACAAATAGGCAGCACCATGTGCTCAACTTCATAATCTGTTTTGACATGAATAATGAATGTGGATAAGCTTCCATTTAATTTATGTTAGTGATAATACTACCTAGTCAGATTTTCTTAGTGGTCAGAGTTAGGAAACAATACAGTATTCTTACTAGGATATTATACATAACTTTACCTTTGATCTTTAGAAGACTCCAAGAAAATGTGGCTATGTTTGCTTGTGTGTACTTAGGTTACCTGCTTTAGAGGATGAATATTCTGAGTTTAAAGTCCTTTTGCTTTACTGAGTAAAAATGTTCTGCATTTATTTAATTGAAGAGTAAACATTAGTAGAGTTTGAGTAAGACAAAACATTAATATATTTTTATTTTAAACTCTGGCTTTGAAACCTTGTTGTTTGCCCCTTCTCTAATAAATATCAGGGATACCCTGTCCCCAAAAGGATAGAAAATTATAGAATATCATATTGAAGGACTGGGCTGAAAACTTAGCTTTTCTGATGCCACTTTCCTTATCTGCAAAGGTCTTCCTTTTCTTTTTTTTTTTTTTTTAATGTAGTTAGTACAGCGTCTCCAGGGTCTCACTACACAGATCAGACTCGTAGTGATCCTTCTGTTTTCAGCCTCCCAAACACTGGGATTACAGGAGCGTGCCACCACACACAGTCTCAATCACCCTCTCAGCGTGCCCCAGGGGTTGGGCTGGTATGACATACTAGGGATCAAACCCCAGTCCCTGCTCTGCCTAAGCAAGTGCTTTAATTCACTGGATTATCTGGCTGACCCCAGGTCTTCCTTTTTTAAAAAGATATTTATTTTCTTGAGAGCAGAAGGTAGACACAAAGAGGTCAAGAGAAAATAAGTGAATTCTTCTTTGTAAAAGTTTCTCTGAAGTATGAAATAAAATTGAATGTGCTTTGTTAAGTTTTACAGTATGGCTCAAGGAGATAGGGATGATTCTTATTTTTATTGTGAACCATTTTAATCTGGGCATTAGGGAATTGCTCTTCAAAGTACCATTTAGGAAGCTTTATCATGATAGTTAAATGGTAGTGATGCTAAACCGGTAAACTTATGAAGGTATAAACTAACACAGCAGTAGAAGAAATAGAGCAAAAATGATGAGTAGCAGATGTTAAGGCGGTAGAACCAAAAACTTCGTTGGAATGATTGTGCAGGTGGTGTGCCCCTTTGTTTTCTTCTCCCCTCCCCTGCATTCTGCTCCCTTCCACCGGGGGTCAAACCGAGAGCCTCATCATGCTAGCCAGTTTTTCTACTGAGCTATACCTCTAGCCTGATGTACCATTTATTGAAGTAGGGGTTAATGTAAGATCAATTATGGAGGGCTGGGTGTGGTGGCAATCTGTAATCCCTGCATTTGGGAGGCTGAGCCAGGAGGATTAGTGTGAGTTCAAGGCCTGCCTTTTCTACAAAAGTGAGTTTAAGACCATCCTGAACTACATAGTAAAACCCTATCTCAATAGGACTAAAAACAAAAACAAAAAAAAAGAGCAATTATGGATAAGCATATTTGAGGTTCTTACTGGCAAGTAGGCTGTAAGTACAGAAAATAGTTATAAACTCTCACCTGCCACTTAGGGATGAAGTCTGGTTTCAAAAAATATTTTGAGGCCTTTTTATCGAGATAGCGCAGAAGGTGAAGAAGGAAGCCCCTGCCCCTCCCAAAGCTGAAGCCAAAGCCAAAGCTTTGAAGACCAAGAAGGCCAGCTGAAAGGCATCCACAGCCATAAAAAGAAGATACCACAAAAAGAATGTCACCCACCTTACACTGCAGCTCCAGAGGCACCCCAGATACCCTAGAAGAGTACCCCCAGGAGAAACAAGCTGGACCACTATGCCATCATCAAGTTCCCACTGACTAGAGTCAGCCATGAAGAGATCGAGGACAACAACACACTTATGTTCATTGTGGATGTCGAAGCCAATAAGCACCAAATCACACAAGCTGTAAAGAAGCTCTATGACATCGATGTTGCCAAGTTCAATATCCTAATCAGGCCTGATGGAGAGAAGAAGGCATATGTTTGAATGGCTCCTCATTACGATGCATTGGATATTGCCAACAAAATTGTGATCATCTAAACTGAGTCCAGCTGTCTAATTCTAAGTATAAACTTTTTTTCCCAGTTTAAAAAAATATATTTTGATCACTGGAAGATATAAGCGTAGATGAAAATTTAGGGAGAGAGAATGTGTACAATGAGGAAAGGACTGGGCAGAACTGCAGAGCTGCAGCAGTAGAGAGGATTGCAGAGACTGAGAAGGAATGGTTAAAGAAGGAAATCAGGCCAGGGAGGAGCCAGAGGAGGCCGGTTTCAGATAGAGACTAATTGGTGTCACATTTCTCCCTGGTTGCCTCTCAGGATTATAAGCTTTGGACTAGGAATATAGCTCAGCAGCACAAGCACCTCCCTGGAAAGCGAGAGGGTCTGAGTTCAATTCCTGTTTCCAAAAAGAAAAGATTATAAGCCTCGTTTATTCCCTCTCTTAGTTACAGTGACATGAGAGTAAGGTTATCATATATAGCTACTTTCTTTTAGTTCAATGAGATGAAAAGTTTGTACTAATATTGTTTAGACAAGGTATATCTGCATCTTGTTCTCTGAATAACCACTATGAAGACAACAATATGCAATGTATTAATTATTGTAACTCTCCTACCAACCTGTTTTGAAACTGTTTCAGTGCTATTTTATTTTCTCATTAAAATGAATAAAAAATTTTAAAAAATAGAGTGAGATAACTGGTTTCCTTTTTTCACACATGTAGTGTGCAGATTCAGCAATAAAGAGTTTACACAAGTGTCTTCCCTTGTGGTTGTGGTTATAAATGTAGCAATCCTACTCTTTTTCTGACTTCCACTGCAAGAGTTTTATTGTAATTATCCTCAGCATGTGGAATACAATGATGTTTTACAGTTTTTGTCAGGATAGCTAGTTTTATTCTTATATGTATATTTTCCTATTGCCTGTTGCTCTTCCCTTTCAACTCTTTTGTAACTTGTGAATTTTCTTCCATTTCCCATATTGAGATGCTATGTGGATTTTGCCTTATCCCCCTTTATACATTTTTTTTTTTTTTGTATTTAGGGAAGGATCTACAGAGTAGGGTGTTCTATGCATGGTTTTTTATTAGCTATTTCTTGTACCTTTGTGTTCCTCCTGTTCTGTCCTTTTGTTATCAGCAACTCCACTGCCAATCTCCTGCCTCTCTCCTTTTTCCTTCTTCCTGATATATTATGTAACAGTTTCTCATATTTGTGTATATATTTCTGTGTCCAAGTTTTTTGTTTTGTTTTAATGTCTTCTTGAGGCAGGGTTGCACTATGTAGTGTAGGCTGGCCTTGAACTCCTTTATAGCCAGGCTGGCCTCAAATTGCAGCAATCCTCTTGCCTTAGCCTCCCTAGTACTGGGCCTTCAGCATGCACTATCATGCCCAGCTCTGTGCCTAATTTTAGGATTAGATTTTTTTTTTTATTTAATAACACTTTAATATTAGTTGTTAACAGTTCTGTGGGGTTGGCAGAAAGCAAGTTCATGATCCCGAATAGTGGGAATAGCCAGAAACTTCTCAGCAGGCGCTCCTCTCTTTTCCGTCCCTCAGAGTCAATGGAACCACACCAGCACCAACACCCTTGATCCCTCAAGTTCCTGCATTTACCTAGAAGCTCTTTAAAGATGAGCTCCATTAGGGAGGTTTTCTGAAATGGTGTGTGAAGCTGTTATCACCGTGTCCCATTTAGAACTGTGTTTTCTGCTTCTTTTTGATTTTCAACACTAATAGGATATGGTGCTTGTCCTAAAAGAAACTGTTCCCATTTGGGAATATATTCTTCCACTGATGCCCAGTAACAAGTCTCAAGAGAAACTACCTCAGGTGGTAGATGTGACTGCATCTTGCTCTGTAGAGACTTTTCAGCTGCTTCTATATCCTTTAAAAGGCTAAGATTCCTTTTGAAAGCTGTTTCAGCTTGCTGCTGAGAGGGCTTTTCTGTGTTTTGATTTCCCAATTTACTCTCCATTTGTTGAAGTAACATCAATCTTTGCGATACTATTTTCTCATGTCTTTTAGAAAGGCGAATTTCTTGAGTGAACAAGGAGGTCATCTTTAATCAAAGCTGTTGCACAATTTCTGCGGCGCGGCCCGGCACCCTGCTCAGTTTCTCTGCCCCGGCCGGACTCGCGCCCGGCACGAGTCCGGCCGGGCTTTCCGGCAGGCGCCGCTTACTGCGCCTCAGGATTAGATTTTTGTTTGTTTTCTTCTTTTTCCTTACATTGGTCTCTCCCCCACTCCTTTTTTTTGGCGGGGGGTTGATACTGACAATTGAAGCCAGGGCTTCTTGAATACTAGGCGAGTGTCACCACTGAGCTACATCCCCAAGTCTCTGTATTTTGAGACAAAGTCTTGCTAAAGTTTTCAACTTGTCCTTGAACTTTTAATCATCCTGTTTTGACTCTGGTAAACTGGAAGCTGGGATTATAGACATATGCCACCATAACCAGTTTAGATTAATGGCTTGCCGGCCATCTGCCTGCTGCCTGTCTGCCTGCCTTCCTTCTTTCCTCCTTTTTTTTTTTTTTTTGGTATTGAGATTCAACTCAAGGCCTTACACTGGGATAATCCCTAGCCCTTTTTATTTTGTATTTTGAGATAGATTCTCCCTAAATTGCTCACACTGGGCTTGAACTGGCAATCTTCCTGCCTCAGCATCCCATTGTGCCACTGTGCCCAGCCTAGAATTTTTATTGTTTTCTACTATATAGTCCAGGTTGACCTTGAACTTATTGTGTAGCCCAGGCTGGCCTCAAACTCCCAGCAATCCTCCTTCCTGCCTTAGTTTCCCGAGTGCCGGAAATACAGGCATGTGCTACCACACCTGGCAGATTGTTCATTTCTTATGGAGGATATCTTTACTACTGATATCAATATTTGTAGCATGGACTCTTGTGTGTGTGCTTGCATGTGTACTCTTGATTGAGCTAATTAAGAGTAAAACTGCTTCTACAGGACACTGGGGAGGAGGCATAAACAGACTTGTACCTTCTTATTGTGCCTGCTGAGCACACAGAAATAGCAGGGTCTTCTCATAGAAAATTCACTGTGCAAGCCTTACCCTTTAGAGTTCTCTGAGGAACAGATTTTTAAAAATCTAAGTTAAATTATTAAAGACCTCTGGCTATTTCTTTTATCTTTTGGTTTAAGATGCTATTTAGCAGTTCTTTAGGAATATTACATGTGTATCTAAGCAGTTTTGTGTTTACAGATTCAAAACAAGGATACTTCAGAGAGATGTAGATGGAATACATGTTATTTTCAAAGACTGATTAATTAGGATGAGTAAAACTGGGGCAAAAATTCAATTTCCACACTGAACACTAATTTAATGCCTGGGTAAGTCACCTAGGTGTTTATTTTTTAGTGGGTTTGAAAAGATTTCCAGATGGCTTGAAAGTTTTGGAGATAATAGTTGAATTCAATATTTTGTGTTGTCCTCAAGCTGCCAAGGCAAATTTAAATGCTCAGGAAATATTAAGTGAACAAACGAACTCCTTAGTACACTCTGTGCTCTGTATTTATGTAAAAGGAGAAAGATTTTTTTTTCACTTTCTGCATTTTCAGCAAACGACATGAATTCTGTGGCAGTTAACACACATCCCAAGCTTGTGTGTCTGAGAACACTTACAGTGCAATAGCCAAACTTTCCTTAAAGCACACATTTATTTATTTTTTGAGATAATTCTCACCAGGCTGGTCTGGAATGTGAGACCCTTGTGCTTCACCTCCTTAGTGCTGGGTTGCAGGTGTGTGCCACCTTACCCAGCTGAAGCACACACTTGGAACAGCTTACTGTCAGAGTACCTACTGATTTTCTGAGAATGGGTTTTTCCTACAATTGGCCTTTTCTCATTTTTCTTGCTTTTATTTCATTTTCCTTCAAGTAATATTATTTCAAGAAAAATGTTCTAGGGACCGGGGAGATGGCTAAATAGAATAAGCGCTTGCCTGGCAAGCACAAGGGTCTGAGTTCAATCCCCGGTTCCGCAAAAAAAAAAAAAAAAAAAAAAAAAAAAAAAAAAAAAAAAGTGGTCTTAAAAGTGTTCTAGAGAATATTTTCAACATTGATGTAAACACTTTTGTGTTCCATCCTAAGATTTTGGTTATGCTTCAGTTAATTGCTCTAAGCAGGACACACTACCATGTATGGCCTTGCTTTTTTACACAGTAATTATCTGGCTTTTTCTGGGATGAGTTATTTTCAAATAATTTTTTTCTGGTTATTACTTTAGAAAAACTATTCTATTTATCATTATGCTATGAGAATTATTTTGTTCACAAGTGACAGTGCCTGGCTTGCCTGGTAACGATTAGTCCTCCAGGAGTGAGTAACATGAAGTGCACTTTGGTGTCCATTGTCTGCCTCTGACTACGTGTTTCTATTAAATTTACATGCTTCCCAGGACCTTTTACTTTTGTTGGGAGTCCTATAAATTTTGTGAGAAAGACTTTTCTAAAATTTCTTTGTATATAGTCCATAGGTATAAATTGGGGCAGAATTAGTTTTTTTTTTTTTTTTTTTTTTTTTTTCTGGACAGGGTCTTCCTTTGTAGCCCAGGTTGGCCTTGAATTTGCAGTGATTCTTCTGCCTTAGACTTCCAAGTGCTGGGATTACAGGTATGGGCCACTGTGCCTGGCAGGGGCAGTGTTAGTCTTCTTTTTTTTTCCCCAACTGATATATATATATATATATTATTTTTTTTTTTTTTTTTTAAGAAACTATAAAATGGTGAAAAGAACATTAGAAATGATACAGAATTTCACTGAACAAAATAGGAATTTGAACAATGGTTGTTGTATTATATGATGTAATCTTTAAATTAGTTCAGATTATCAGACATAAACATGCAAAATTGGTTAAAAAAGAAAAAGTTAAAAAGTTATAAGAAATTAAAAAACAAAAAAGCATTCACTGCTCCTTTCAGTAACCCAGCAAAAATTAGCAGTACAATTATCCAAGCTATCCTGCATATATACAGTTGTTGGGACTTGTATCTAAATGTGCCCCTAAAGCCTTGTGCACTCATAGGTGGGCTTTTTCAGAGGCTGGATCTAGAGTTTGTGACACTGGGATTGATTCATGCTCCAATGCTAAGATCAAGGACACTAGGATTAAGGGTGTGAGTGCTACCTGTCCTAAATAGCCTGGATAAGATATAAAGAATAGAAAGAGCTGTGGTTGCTTTTGCTTTGCTACCTTTTCCCACCATGAAGTTTTTCCTCTGTGATGGCCCTCTGCCATGCTACCTGCCTTAGAGCCAGTTATGAACTGAAATCTCTATAAAATGAGAGCTAAATAAACCTTTCCTTCTTTAACTCTAGGTGTTGGGTATTTTGTCTCAGCAATGAGAAAAAGTAGTTAAGACAGTAATAAAATAGCAAGCCTGGTGGTGCACTCCTGTAATTCTAGCACTTGGAGTCTAAAGCAGGAGTATCACCCATGAGTTCAAGGCCAGCCTGGGCTAACTAAGCGAGTTCAAGGCCACCCTGCACTACATAATGAGACACTGCCTTAAAAAAGAGAGAGGGAAGAAAAGAAAAACCAAAAATCATAAAACAAACAAAACATGAAAGACTTGAATGACTAAATAAGATCCAAAATATATGATAGATATTGTGAAATAGGGGTCCCGGAGAGAAAGCTCAGTAGAATAAGTGTTTACCTGGAAAGCGCAGGGTTCCAAGTTCAATCCTTGTACCACCACCAAAAAAAAAAAAAAAAAAAAAGATATTGTGAAATGGGAAGAAACTGCTCAAAAGGGAGAGAAACAGGAGGGAAGGAGAAAAGAGGGAAAGGAAAAGAAAAAATATATACACACATACAATCACATTTGTATATATTCACACAAGCTAGTGAAGATAGTTACACTACTGATTGCTATTCATTGAAAAGAAAGTTTTATGCTTATTTTGTTTGGCCAATTTTTATCTTGTATCTTATAATATGAGCAACTACTTTGAAATAACAATACACAATGTACTAACCATTGTTACTCTCCTACAATCTTGTTTTGAAATTTTATGTCTTTTTTTTCATTAAGTAAAAATAGATTTGCTTGTGTGGAGGGTGTAGGCAGACAGGCAGGCCCTCCTTACTTGGTCTCATTCTGTTGTGAAAATGCATTAGGCTGATCATGATGCTATTTCCAAATGGCAGGAAGTGACAAAGCCCCCCCCCAGCTTTATTAAGATATAATAGATACAGTAAAATGTACATAATTAATGTATACAATTTAATGTATTTTGATGCATATGTGTACTTTTTTTTTTTTTTTTTTACCATCAGCATAATCAAAATAAGAAACACATCTGCCACTTCTACCAGTTTCCTTATGCTGTCTTTACCCTCTTGTGTACTAGGAACACTTAAAATGAAATCTGTCCTCTTAAATTTTTAAATGTATAATGTCTTATTATTAGAGGCTAGGTTATGGTCTACAACTTAGTCATTCTGAAAGACTAATGACATTTTTCTGGAAACCTTAAGTAAGTTTCTAGAAACCCCTCATATGGCAGCAACATTCTGGAACATTTTGATTTTCTGTGAAGATGGGATCTGGGAGAGAAATTATTCAAAGTTAGCTGGACAGATGATACAGCACTCTCCCACCCCTGCCCCCCATTATCTGTTTTTCCTCACAAGGCTTTTCTTTTTTTCCTTTAGTGAGATAAGCCGTCTGGACCTGGGTCTAAGTGTGGAGGTGTGGAACAAAGGGCTGATCTGGGACACTATGGTGGGGACCGTGTGGATCGCACTGAAGACTATTCGTCAGTCAGATGAGGTCAGTTGGTGCATTATGAATATAGGCCTTGCTTTTCCTCATTTCAGTTCCACTTTAGCTGGATTTCTCTGATCCTTTTCTGATTAGAGGGTGTGTGACCTGCCCATTCTTAATCTTACCCAAAGAAGTACACTCTATTCTATGACTGAGCCCCATCTGGGTAAATAGAGTTGCCAGAGTTCTCTGTCCTTACCAAGTGGGGAGCCTCACTGAGTAGTGAGCTTCCATGCACACACATTCCCCTCAACTATTCTCTCTCGATCTCTCCTTTTTTTTTTTTTTTTTTTTTTTTTTTTGGCGGAACCCGGGATTGAAGTCAGTGACTGGAGTTCAGACGGGAAGCGCTTATTCCACTGAGCCATCTCCCTCACCCCACATTCTCCTCAAGATTGTGCCCTGGAGAGTCCTGTTATACTTCCTTAGCCAACTGACTGGATCCTATTTTTTTGCTTTGTTTCTTTTTTTTTTTAAATAATTTTATTGGGAAACAAATAGCAATCGGTTTCACAACTGATTAATAGCACATTTTCAATAATTAATGCATTGCATATTGTTGTCTTAGTGGTTATTCTTTGTACAAGATGCAGACATGATATCCTGTCTCAAACACTATTAGAACGAACCTCTGTATTCATTGAATTAAGAGAATGGAGCTGTATATCCTAACTATTTTGAGTATACCGATACAAAATGGTTGTTCATTTCTATCCCACTTTTTGTTTGGTTTTGTCAGAGAAGGGCATTCCATTGTCATTTAAATACTGTAGTGCATGAATTCAGCAAAATATCCCAATATAGTCCAGTAGCCCATAATAGTAGTGGGTTTTCGTAAGGCTGGCAATGTCTGAAGTTGTTGACTTGAGCCTTTGACAGCTCAGCATATTAATATGGCTTTACTTTTTATACTTTTTAAAAAAATTTTATTTATTTGTGTGTGTGTGTGTGTGGCCAGCTCAGCCCACCAGGGGGCAGGGCTGGCTGGCATGTGGTGCTGGGGGATTGAACCGCGGTCCATGTGCTTTGCTAAGCCTGTTCTAAGTAGGTGCTTTAGACCACTGAGCCATCTCACCAGCCCCCTATACTTTGTTTTTATACTTTTCTGCTGGATGGTTAAGACCAAGATAAAGCAAGACCTATATAACAAGAAATGTAACTTTTGTACCTGATAAGGTCAGTCAAATCCCTCAGGATTTACCCTGAAATGCTGTACCGCAGTTTGTAGATCCTTTGTCAGTGTCAGCCATGTGGATGAGTCATGGCCATTGCTTGACCAATTTGCTCTCTGTGAAAGCCTGAGAGAAAGTTTTCTCTCCATGTGAGTCTCCTTAGGCACATTCTACATCATTGTTCATTTTCCTCTTTGGCCTCATAATCTCCTTGATTAGAAAATTTGGGATACAGCTGAGTTACATGATGTTACAGTACAGGTTCTCCTATGTCCTTAGTATTCACTGACCTTGAAAGGCTAGGACCAAAATGTTACTTTGTTTCTTTGAGTTACTCAGGGACATGGTTTTAGGCTTTTTCTTCAGCCCATAACTCTAGCAGAATTTAAGAAACTACCAGGTTTGGAATTGGTGTTTACACTGTTTCTATACATTCTTTGTAGAGCAGAACTCCCATTCCACCTCCTGAGGTTAGACTGTAACTCTGACAACACCATTTCCCTATTTGTACTCACTTTGCATGCAGACATAAGCTATTGTATTCCTGTGTGGCTCTAACATGAACCAGGCGTTTTCTCTGGCAGTGAGAATATTGAAGACATTGCCTCCATTTTCTGCATTTCTTTCATTCCTGGCTAAATCGCTATACTCCTAGATGGGATGTAATGAAAATGTAAATGTTTGTTTTCATGACAGCCTTTCTTCAGTTCTTTTGAGCTTGCAATGGCAGGAGCTCTTTACTGATGAGACACAGGGACACAGTCATTAAGAACCATGCAGATTAAATATTGATCCATGGAAATGCCTGGTCTTTGAGTTTGGTACTCCAGAAACTCTGTCCTTACTGGACTGCAGAGAACTGATCACTGTGAAGGTGCTCTCTCTGCCAAAGGGGAAGGATAAGAGCCACATGCTGCATGGGTGACAGTGGCCTTTTTGCTTGTCAGGACAAGCAGTTCTCAGCAGCTCTCAGACAAGGAACTCAGGAAAAAAACCCCACCTGACTCTTGAACTGGCGGCGGGGGGGGGGGGGGGCAAGTAAAGATTAACATCAAATCTTGGATTTTTCTTTTCTAGGAAGGGCCTGGGGAGTGGTCTACCTTAGAGGCAGAGACATTAATGAAAGATGACGAGATTTGTGGAACTAAAAACCCAACTCCTCATAAAATTTTGCTTGATACAAGATTTGAGTTGCCATTTGGTAAGTCTATTTGGTGAGATTTTATTTTTGGTTTTCTTTCTTTTTTTTTTTTTTTTTTCAGACAGTGTCTTTATTTAGTTTGGCTGGTCTTGAACTCACTATGTAGCCCAGGCTGGCTTCAAACTTGCAGCAGTCCTCCTGCCTCAGCCTCCCTGGTGCTGGGATTACAGGTGTATACCACCACACATGGTACTGATGATTTTAAAAATCACTTAATTTAAAAAGTCACTTAATTCTTTTTATCATATTGTTTGGCAGTATTGGCTAGTTGTTGCCTTAAAATACATTTTGTCTTCTCAGCTATTTCAGAGAACATAATGTCTTCATCAGTCTATGTCCCATGACTTTAGTATGGGGCTCATTAAAGAGTCCATGCTAAAAAAGCATGTTCTTTAAGTCTTTTAGTCCAGTGACTGTTACGATCTATAAAATATCAGCTTATGAGATTTATTTAACATTTATTAATCGCAATGTGAATATATGCCTTATGATTTATTAATTTAAAATTGAGTTGGGGGCTGGGGAGATAGCTCAGTAGAATAAGTGCCTGCCTCACAAGTGCAAGGTCCTGAGTTCAATCCCTGTTATTGAAAAAAAAAATTGAGTTCAGTGCAGTGGCACATGCGTGCTGCAATCCCAGTACTTTGGGAGGCTAAAGCAAGAGGAGCACAAGTTCGAGCCCAGCCTGGGCAACTTAGTGACTTAGTGAGACCCTGCCTCAAAACAAAAGAATTGAAAAACACTGATAAATAGAGTAGTATTTTTTTCCGTGTGTGTGTTTGTGTGTATGTGTGTGTTTGTGTGTGTGTGTTACTGTTACTAGAGATTAAACCTGGGATACGCTACCACTGAACTATCTGCACAGCCTGGATTTTTAATTTTATTTTTATTTTAATTTCTTTCACTTCAAGACAGAGTCTTTATTAGGCTGTCTAGGCAAGCCTCAGCCTCCCAAGGAACATGTGCCACCACACACAGCTAGTATATTACCTATAGAGATAGATTTTAAAATCATGAAAACCACATGCATATGATAAAAATTCAAATGAGGAAATATATGTAGATAGAAACATTAATAGATTCTTGTTCTACTTTCTTACACCTTTTTGCATTTCCCAGAGGTTAACTACTGTTAATTTCTTTTTTTTTATGTCTTGATTTAGACATGAGATATTTATTTTCTAGAAATTTACTTCAGTAAAATTTGGATTAGAGAGATATGAGGTATTGTATAAACTATTAAGACACATATTTTGGACATTGTTCCATGTTATAGTTTAAGATCTTGCTGTTATCTGAACAAGTGCCTTTGCTGTAATATATGTACTAATTGACATATAGATTGTTTTTAGTTCTTTCTAATAGTACATATCGCTCTAATCTAAAATCTGTGTATCTGTGCCCACTGAGTCTGGGATAAATGCATTAATGCAGAATTGCAAAATCAAAGAGGATGCACATTATTACACAACTTAGATGCTGCAGTTACTTCTCAAGAGAGTTGTACAAATTATATATATCCCCCTGTGGTACTGGCAATTCAATTCAGGATCTTACACTTACCAGTCAGGTGTTGTGCCATTGAGCTATATCCCTGGCCACATTTGTATTCTTATCTGCTCTCTGAAGAGTGCCTACTTCTGCTCTTCTTGCCAACATTCTGTATTTCCTAATTTTTAATCTTATCTAATTGGCCTTTTTTTTAATTATTGGTACTGGGAATCTAACTTAGGACCTCATACTTGCCAGGCAGGCGTTGCACTGCTGAGCTATGATCCTGGCTTCTAATTGGTTTGAATGGAATCTTGTTCTAGTTGAATTCTTTTAGAGTAATTTCAATTTTTAATATTTGCATTATTAGTATTCACTGATTTTTTTTTTTTGTTATTTTTTTGTATTTTTAGGGAAGAGTCTACAGGGTGTTCAGGGTCTCACTACTAGATTGGACTCATAGTGATCTGCCTGTTTACAGCCTCCCAAGAGCTGGGACTACAGGCGCATGCCACCACACCCAGTCTCAATTCCCATCTCAGAGTGCCTCAGCGGTGGAGCCGGCATGGCAGGCTCGGGCTTGAACCCCTGGCCCCTGCGCTTGCTTGCAGGCACTTTAATCTGCTGAGCTATTTGGCTGGCCCTAGTATTCACATGTTGTTATTGCTACTGTTTTATGATTTCAATTGATCTATACCTTGTATCCTAAGGTTATTTAAGGAAAACTTTCATGATTTTCCCACTAACTCAAAAAAAAAAAAAAAAAAAAAAAAAAAAAAAAAAAAATTAAGAACATTACCTGAAAAAAAAAAGTGCCAAGTGGCAGTGCAGTACTTGTGTTTATCCCAGCACCCTGCACATGTTAGCAGCCCTGTGCAGTGTTACCCTTGGCTGTCTTGTGAGACCATAGGCAAAGATAAGCAACTGGACTCTTGCTTCTGACTTAGTTGTTTGTATAGTATTTTAGTGCTGTATTATTGGCCGTACAGTACTGGTCTCCAGTGGAGTTTCCATCCTTTTGTGCCAGGAGGGAGATGAGGGTGAGTCCTGGTTCATATACCACAGACACTGGCTCTTCTCACCAACTTTTAGTAGATTTTGTTGAGAAAATAATTTCTTTGCTGTATGCCTTAGGGACAGTACCAGATACTTTAAGTGGTTGTTTTTTTTTAAATTTTGTTTTGTTGTAACTTATACCAATTTTGTTAGGGGTCTGTCTTTAGAACTTATTCTGTCATGGTAGGAGATTGCTTATCCTTCATTAAATTTTAACAAGCATTCTTATACTGATACATCACTTGGATTCCCTCACAGGTTAGCAGTATGTGTTTCTGTTAGGATTTTGAGTTTTGTTTTTATTTTTTTCCTTTTCTGAAATGGTCTTGCTATGTAGCTCAGGCTGCGCTTGATCTCACTCCATTCCTCCTGCCTGAGCCTTCTAAGTGGTGGGATTACAGGAGTGTACCACCATGCCCAATTTTAAATTTGGAGTTTTTGAGGGCCTTGTGTAGTTTTTTTTTTTTTTTTGGTATGTTTATTGTTTGCCAGATACATGATAGGGCCTAATAAATGGTAGTTTGAGTAAATAGGTAAAATTTCAGGTAAGTGAAATTTATTTTTAATTAAAGTTAATGTGAATGTGACCCTATTACTGTAATTAGAATTAGGATACAGTTTTTAAAAAGTTTAATAAAGGATTCTTTTTAAGACTGAATAATACTTGCATTGTTTGTATGGTTAGCATTTGGCATGTTATTTCATATGTTCACGGACTCAGGTTACTTCAGCTCTCAGCTATTGTGAATAATGCTGCTATGAACATGGATGTACAAATACCTTTCTGATATCCTCTTAGACATATACTCAGGAGTGAGATAGCTGGATCACATGGCAAATAAATAAATACATTGATTTATTTGCAGTATTAAGGATTGATTGAACCTAGGGGCTTCCCTCTGAGCTGCATCTCCAGCCCATTTTAAAAAATTTTTATTTTGAGACAAGGTTTTACTAAGTCACTAAGTTGCCCAGGGTGGGCTTCAACTTGAAAATCCTTTTGCCTTAGCCTTCCAGAATGTTGTGGTCATAGGTGTGTACCATTCCAGTTGGCTGAGCTTTCATCATATTTATATAACTTTTCACCTAAGTTGATCTTTTGGGCTGTTTTGATCTTGCTGAGTGAGATATGAGAGAGCATGGTTATATGGAAAGTGTAGTTTATAGTTCCTGGAGTTAAATTGATCATAGTTTGAATCATAGCTGATGAGTGACTATAGCCAGATTATTTAACCTCTCAATCTC